CAGGGTATTCTGAGGGAAGTGCCATCTGAGATGTTCCAGGGTTCCAGAGACTCTTTTCTGGGTTTTGATGGCCAGATGGAGGACACCGACTGCTCCTTTTAACCATGGAGTTTGGTTAGAAAACCTTTGGAGTCATTTCTGTTGTTTTCTTTTCTGTTTCTCCATACTCTTTCTGATTAAGACTGTTCAGCTTGGAGTATGAGGATGACATGGGCCATGCCCCCTGAATAGTAACAATTAGGTGGGATGCCTAGTGGAATTTCACGTCGAACTGGACTGAGTTGAAGGTGTCTCTACTCAGATTCCACCAAGATGTTGCTGGACTCGGGAGCTAGGTAAAAGCCTACTTGTCAAAGTTGCTAGAGTGAGGGTTTAAATCCCTCCTAGCTCTTAGGATTTCTCTCTCTTATAAGTCCTTTCTGTCTCTACCATCATTTCAAGGAATATTTCTTGGTGGGATGGAATGTTTTTAACCTCTTGTGTGAATGGTGAATGAGTGACCGTGTGACTGTGGCTCTACTGCTTCGGCTATGGAGTCTGAATGGGTAGTCATCCGCAGTTCCATGATGTCCTCTTACAGCTTAGAGCTGAGCTGGGAACTGGGGAATTCTACACCTCTCTGTGTGTCCAGTCCTACCTGGGAGTTGGTACCAGGCAACCAATGCTATGAGGCACCAAAGTTCCTGTGAGGGACTCACTCAGGTGACCAGGACACTCGTTTGGTCACCTCTTTGGAGGAGACACCCCACCCTTTGATTGTCTTAACGGCATCGTTGCATGGAGGAAAACACAGGGATAGTTAATTCTCTTGTATGTAAGAAAGGGCTATCTTCCCTTGCACACTAGACACTTCTTTCCTGGAGCAAGTACAGAATACTTCCCTGAGTGATGACACAGAGACTCTCCTCGGTCATCTCTCTCTTAGGACAGAAAATTGCCTCTGTTACCAGAAGTCTAGGTCCAGCTGTTTAAAAAATCTACCCCTGTATTGGCTAGGTCCAAGACACCGAATCCCACTTATCATCCATTTCTTTTGTATCACCCAGACCTTTTGTCTGTCATTCAGTAGAAGAATCACCAATTTAGGGAAGATTTTGCAAGGTGACTTACTCTCTTGTTAGTCTACCTACATTTCTTTCAAGCTAAATACCTCTGTCCATTCACTGAAGGACTGTATTACTGCTTTAGGGATCTAAAGCTAAGGTGTGCTATTTTAAGCCTTGCCAAGAGCATGCTGGAAAGATGGTTCGAAGCCAATTGCCATAGAGTTTAGACCAGAAACCCCAACATTTCATTCCAGCCCCCAAATCTTTTTGACCTCAGTATCAGCAGTTTCATCATTCCAGCTGCAGACTGCGCCACCTGGGAGTTAAAAAGCCTTCAACAATTGAAGATATTTGCAGTAGCATTTTCACCACACACAGATAGAACTGTCCTTAGTGCACTCACTCCTGTGCAATCACAGCCTTTTCCTCTAGATTGTGACAGGAGATTAGACAAATCCCTAGAGATCTTGGAGGTCACACCCATAATTCCTAGGGTTGCATGCCCCAAATCCCTTGCTAGTGTATTCCCATTACATTAGCCCTTTTGTTTGCCTGACGCTGATATCAATGACTCCTAACAACTGGAGTAGGTTCTTAAGGTTCCTTTTAGGTTTAGCTTACTTGGGAAAAATTGGGGGTTTCGTTGCACTGTGGTGTTTCTAACATGCAAAAAGCCCAACACTACTTGCCAGGAGCCCAGGGTCAAGACAGGCAGAGTGCACGGGTGCTCAGAGGCACAGAGCCACCCTCACACACTTGTACCACTTGGCTCCTTTTGCAGTGCTTAGCACACAGCTCTAGCCTGCAGCACTGGCCAGGGCAGGGTTGAAGGAATCTAAGATGACTAAACGCTACTAGGCTGTAATGCTTTATGCCAAAGTATATTTTCTCTAGGTAGACTAAGCTGTTTCTGATTCACCAACAAAGACCATCAAACCCATCTCGGTCCAGAGTCTGGGTATTCTGGAAATGACACCAGAGAAAGACTGTTCGTAAGTCTTGTTCAAAGACACCATATCAAATTCTTCTGACCACTCTCACTGCAGTAAAGCTTCAAGTCCTTGAACTGTGGGTTCACAATTCAGAAGGATTACCTCAGACTTTTGGAGCTGTACAAATGTTGGGTACAACTGGTAAAAGTGACCAGGGAAATTTCTTCTTTGGAGCAGACATCATAGACACAGACTGCTTTGCCCAGAGATGCGGTAAAGACTTCTCTGCCATCATGAAAACATTATGCTGTTTCTTTCTCTCAGTTCCTACTGTGTTAATTCTTTCCTCTTCCCTACAGAAAATCCATGGCACCATAATCAGTGGTTGATTTTAATTTGAGCTTATGCCCTAGTGCAAAACCAGACCAATTGTTGGGACGGTGGAATAATGCAGAAAAGATCAAGAAACCATTCTGCTGCTGTCATTGCCTCATTGTTTCAATTGAGTCACCCTAAAACCTCCAAGACAGAGTGAAAAGCTATTTTTGATAGTCTTCAAAAGATAAGTGAGTTTTGTGATAGGCAGGTAGCTAAGTAGTGAGCGGAGGCCCTGAGAACATAGCAGAAGGACACATGTCACTCCAGTCACAATTTATCAGGAGTTACAACGAGACCTTCCATGAAAATGCCTTATTCTCACCCAGCTCCTGGGCCAGGAAGGCCAGACAAAGACTGTTTTTCTTCCTTGGTACCTGAGAAAGACATATAGGGATGATTGTCAATTTTATCACTCCTGATAAATACAAAAAGACCCAACTAGATATTTTAGTCAACATCCTAATTCCCACTGGGGCAATAAACCAATTGGGCAGTTCATCCTAATAAGGATGCTCTTATCATCATGGCTCACACTGGGCATGTGCAGTTAGGTTATCAAATTCCTCAAATTCTTCACCTGTGAGAGAGCTGCTCAAGCAGGAAAAAGCCTGGGAATTCAAACAAAGATCATACATTGTATGACAGACCTCTCACTGTTAATCTTCATTATCACCTCTAGTAATAGAACTAATACCTAAATCCTACCTAGTAACCTGTTCCACCCCCTAAAATTCTTTTGGGTGTACTTTTTTTCAAAAATTTTCCTCTCCTATTAAATTCTCTTTTCTACCTACTTATAGTGTGTTTGTGGTTTTCTTTTGCACCTAGGGACAGGTTTCTAATTTTAGTGATCTGGACCAAAGGACCAAGGGTTTTACACAACAGGAGATCAGTACTCTCATCCTCTGAGAGTTTACAGTGAGAATAGATTTCAGCAGGGTTCCTGGAGATTCCCTTTTGGCAGTAACACAACACCAGTTGTATTTAAAGTTTCTATATAAAGAGGAGAAAATTTTCACATTTTATAACCAATAAGACCTCCTAGAGTTTCAGGCAGGGAGAAGTCATCTTCCAAAAGATGAATGATTAACACAAAGTGTAACAAAAGTGCTCAAAGAAATATCATTCACCTTTAGGTCTCCTTTTAGTTCAACTTAGAAGCTTATGTTGGATTCTGAACAAAACTAAATGTTGTACCTATCTATGTCAAAAGAAAGGAACAGGTTGATGTATTTACAAAAATAACTGACAGTTTGTTTGCATACATCCTAAATGACAGATTAAAAGTTTGTGTTTTTTTTAATACCTATATTTCTTCCAATAGGCCTCCAGGATATTATGGCTTGTGTTACTAAGCTAACAACAAAGATAAATATCTCTTTAAATCAGGCCATTTTGTAGACAACTATGATCCTTCATCATCATCACACTCTGAACAAGGATGTTGACCAACTGGACTCAAATACTGCAAAATTCCCTATATTGACTAAGTCTTGCTTAACTTGGTTTCATTGGTTTCATGGAAGCGTTGGCTAAGGAGGACAGTTTGTGCTTTGGATATTAATCCACTTAAGGTCTTTTTAGTGCCCCTGATGTGCTGTATTCTCTAGAGTAATGAACATTTGTATGCAGCCACTCATTACACACTAAAGATATGTTCCTTTTACGTGATCAGTAAGAAGACAAAAAAGGAAATCGTGTGATATCATGGCTCAAGAACTGCATGCCAGAGACCAGAGAAAACTACTAAATTTTATGATGATTGTGATTTCTATACTGAAACCAAGAAAAAGTCACTTAGAGATGGAGGGCAATGCCTGATGTTTTGTTCGATCTCTCAAAATTGAGGGGCTGACCAAAATGGAGAGTCATTAAAGCATATGAGCTTGGGAAAGCCTCTGTACCCCTGCCTTAGCTTCCAGAAGTAACCTGCAGCCTCAGCTACAAGGTTAGTTGCAACTTCCTTGGTTAGTTGCTAGGTTACAACTAATCACAGTAGCTAGGTTTAAGCAATCACAGACATTCCACCTTGTAAACTGTATTAACACAAACTTCAAGATGTAACCAACTCAATTGTTTCTCTACCTCTTTCCTCACTTCTGTTTTTTTATGTGACTTTCCAGTTTTGGCACATAAATATCCCTGACCATGAGAGCATTTGAAATCCCCTTAGAGGCAAGTCCAGGGTCCTATATTTGATCATGTATATTTTGCTCATTTACATATCATTATATTAAATTAAATCTGGAGTTTTTCTTTAAGAACATCTACTTATTCTGACATTCCACCTATGACAAATAAACTTTACAGCAACTGTAATTTTCTCCTCAGAATATCTCTAGAAAGGATGTTCTCCATTTCTCAGTATTGTATCCTATTTTATTTCCAACTTATATGTTGATACATGAGCACATTCAGACTTCCAAAAAAATGTTTTTCCCAAATTGCACCAAGTCACAAATTAATAACCCCTCTGAGAGAACATGAGAGTTTTCAGCCCAGGCATGCACTATATTTCTCAATTCCTCCCATTTTCTTCTCTTTGTGAGGTCTCCTGCCCCAGGGGCTCCATGTCACTGGGCAGTGCCTCCCCTGATGAGCACACCATTGTTATGTAATGGTCCACCCTCCCCCTCACCTCTCAGTGAGTGCTACTACTCAGCCTCACTCTGCTCTCCTCAAGACACCACCCTGGGAAAAGCTGATGTTTCAGGTATAGTCTTACCTGCATCCCATCTGCGTGCACTTTCTTTCATCAATGGCTCAGTTTCCCTGGACCAAGAGCACCCTGACAGTCGCCCTTTGGCTGTCTGTGCTCTGGGCAGTCCTGTCCCCTGTCTGCTGCTCTCATGCCCCTCCAGGATGGCGCTTCACTTCCTCTGAAGTTGTGATTCCCAGGAAGGTGCCCCACAGGATGGGTAGATTTGAGACACCGGACCAGTTGTCCTACAGCCTGCGCTTCGGGGGCCAAAGACACGTGATTCACATGAACCTCAAGAAGAACTTGCTGCCCAGACACTTTCCTGTTATTACTCATAATGACCAGGGAGCCATGCAGGAGGACTATCCCTTTGTGCCCCGAGATTGTTACTACTACGGCTACCTGGAAGGGGTTCCTGGGTCCATGGGCACACTGGACACCTGCTGCAAAGGCCTGTGTGGCATGCTGCAGGTGGATGACTTCACTTACGAAATCAAGCCACTGGAGACTTCTTCCAAATTTGAGCATGTGCTTTCTCTGCTTGTGTCAGAACAGAGACCAGGTCAGGCTGAGAGATGTAAGAATGATGAGGAAGACACAAATCCAGCATTTGAAGCGGCAAAGTTTGATGATACCCCTAGAGCAGGCCCTGCGTATTTGTGGATTGGACACAAGAAACACTACAAAATTCACTATACAGTTACTAATTCGTTAGCCGCAGCGGCTGGGAGAAATTTAACACGTATTATAGAAAATATAGTGATTATGAACAACATAATACATACGATTTACAAACAAGCTGATTTAAATATCTTCATTCGTGCATTGTGCATATGGAATGACATGGATGCAATAAATATTTGGTCGGGTTCAATATCTCACATTTTAGTTTATTTTGGTTTGTGGAAAAAAGATACACTGTTTGGGCAGATTCCACATGATACTTCAGTTCTTCTTACTGGACATAGAATCGATAATTCCTTATGTCTTTCCTTCCATGATGGAACATGCAATCCCAACTGGGGAGCCCTATATGTATTTGTAGGACGCTTTCATCTATTCATTGGTGCAACAGTTACAGCACACGCACTGGGTCACAGTTTGAAAATGCGCCATGACCATGAAGGTTGTCTTTGTTTTCGGAGAACCAATTGCCTCATGGCTCCCGTGCCTGGACTTCTCGATGTGATGAGCAATTGCTCTTATGCAGCATTACATGAGAAGCTTAATAACTGGGATCCTTGCTTGAGTGCACCAAATATAGTTTATAAAAATTTTCCTTATGTAGCTCCTCGTTGTGGAGACAAGATAAGGAATCAGGATGAAGAATGTGACTGTGGCTCTTTTAAAGAATGTGCTGATGACCAGTGCTGTGAGACCACTTGTGAACTCAGCCTTGGTAGTATTTGTGATGAGGGGTCTTGCTGCGTTAAGTGTAAATATGCTAGACCTGGAATGATCTGCAGAGACACGCTCGGTATTTGTGATCTACCGGAATACTGTGATGGGAAATCGGAACAGTGCCCACATGACTTTTATATACAGGATGGAACCCCATGTTCAGCAGTAGCCGTTTGTATAGCAGGAAACTGCAGTGACCGTGATATGCAGTGTCAAGCTCTTTTTGGCTACAGAGTGAAAGATGCTTCTCCAGCATGCTATAACAAATTGAATACCATAGGTGACCGATTTGGAAACTGTGGGGTGAAGATGCAACGAGGGGGAAGTAAACCTTTTAAATGTGAAGAAGACGATGTTTTATGTGGATTGCTGCACTGTGACGGTATTGATCACATTCCCGGTGGAGGTGAGCACACTACGTTTCACAGCATCCTAGTACAAGATGTTTCTGAAGTAAAGTGCTTTGGATATGATGCGCACCACGGGACAGAGTTACCAGAGATGGGCCTTGTAGTGGATGGCGCAACATGTGGACCAGGAAGATACTGTTATCGACAGAATTGCACTTATTATGACGACTTGGGTTTTGACTGTGATGTGAAGAAATGCAATTTCAGAGGTGTGTGTAACAACAAGAAGAACTGCCATTGTCTGCGAGGTTGGAAGCCACCATTGTGTGAGGAAAGAGGATCAGGTGGTAGTGAAGATAGTGGCTCTCCACCTGACAGAGATGTGGGTATTCGAGCCAAAATACTGGTTAATGTAAACAAGTTCCTGCTTTTTCTATTAATTCGTATAGCTCTTTTTGTGTTTGAACTAATTGTTGGTGGGCTCTTGAAAGCAAAAGAAGTTTTAGGACAAAAAATTGATGAGGACGAAACTACCACCACCAGCAGCAGCAGAAGCAGCAGAAGTAGCAGCTCTGAATAACCTTAGTAAAATAGTAATCAGAGCCCATGCATAGAAGAAATGTTATTAATGCTGAAATAAATAAGCCACAGTCCCTCTGACAGTTACATATCATTTTCGTGTTTTTGAGGTTTTCATCTCGGCTTGGTAAATCACTTGGTTATTTAAAAAAAAAAGTTCTCTTGTTTTTACATTCTCTTAACATTGCTTATCTAGTTATATTCTTAATACCTCTGTGAGTGAGAGCATAAACTGCTGTACTCATTAATAAAGACTCTGCACTGTTTTAAGATTTGGGAAAGAAGGTTTAGACATCCATGTAGCAAGTCTTGTTTGACTAGTATGCACTTTTTCCACACTTCCACCGTCTTTTCCAGTGAACTATGTTCTTAACTTTGGGAATTTGTCCAAAAATTGTTACTGCTACTCTTCAAAATGTATGTGAAAAAGTAGCATTTGGCAGTAATCTCCAGGAAGATACAAATACTTTTAGTGTCACCTGTATTTTGAATTTCATCAATGGTTCTACCACCTGTCCACTGTTTCGTAGTCAAAGACTTCATCTTTCAGTTTCAGGATCCGACTTTATATCCAGACATGAAATGGGCTTCTCCAAGGTTTGTGATGAACAAAGGGAAGGGCATAAAGAAAGACCTGGAACATTTTAGGTATATCCTCAAATAAGGAGTTGTGGGCACTGAGGTATCTATCACTCCTTAATTCCTCTGGTTGCTAAAGTCATAGGATATCACATTTAGAATCCCTGGATGTGCCTAAGCACAGTCTATCTGCAAATTACTGTGTGTAACTGACTGTTTGGTGTATGTACAGACATAACAATTTACTTAAAGGAAACATTAAGAATGAATTTAGAAATTACACTAAAACAGGTCCTGATAAATAAAAAGGATTAATATTCTTCTGTTTAAATGACTCAAAGCTCTTACAAAATCTTTCTGAAAATATTGGCCTGGACCTGGGTAGCCACCAAAGGGGAGAGGAAGGATGCAGAGCTAAAGAATCCACATGATTGTCAGCTGTGACATTATGTATCGTTGGTCTTTAACATTTTTTAAAAATTATCATTCTTTTCCTATTTTGAAAATATTATAATTTATATACTAGCTTTACATACTCTTCTGTTTTCTTTTTTCTTTTTTTTAGTGAGTTTTTATTGCTACTTAGTGCATGTGTTGTGGGAGAGATAGATACAGAGTGAAAGAAAGTGAGAAATCACCCCACAGCAGTGATGTCCATGCCTCAATCACTTCTCTTCCATTCTCCTCTTGGGATTTTGGGCATGCATTCAAACTTGCCTGGCGTGATGTTGGTTCTGGGACTCAAACCAAGGTCAACCATCTGGGAGTCCAGCAACATAACTGTTATGCCATCTTCTTGTCTCGTAGTTGTTCCTACTGATGGGATGTGGTTTTTCACTATATGAACACAACGTGTAATGATCATAGGACAGTAAACTGAGCCACCATAAAAAAAACAAAACAAAACAAAAAAACTATGTTTTATACCTTCAAGTTGTGAACATTTGAAAACCACCCCTCTAGCTATTTTGAATATACATACAAATGTCACCAACTTTAGCTGGTCTACAATAAGGTGTATACTCACTCCACTTATTTACATTTTTGTATCTGTTAACCACATGGCTTAAACTCACGCCGGGTGTGTGTGCGTGCGTGCCCAAGATCCTGAGAGGAGAATGGAGGAGGGATTGCGGCTTGGCCATCCCCCCTGGGGGAGGGGTGATTTCTTGCTTTCTGTCCCTCTGTCTCTCTCTGTCTCTCTGGCGAACACACGCATCCTGTAGCAAAAACCTCTCAAAACAAAACAAAACAAAACAAAACAAAACAAAACAAAAAAAAACACAAAAACACACACACACACACACACACACACACACACAAACACACACACACATTCTCCTAATCTTCCCCAGACTGAAGAATGAGGATCTCCATTTTGAGCCATATCCCCTTTTCTGTGACTGACTCATATGTGCCTCCTGAAAATTTCTCACTGAATGCTTATCAAACCAGCAGACATACACTGTCATCCTTAATTGTCCTTCCTGATAAGTTGCTCTTTCTTCTTTTGTAAACTGCTCTTGCATGATTCAAGGCTGACAGTTTCTTAGGTTTATGTTTCTCTTTGACTTTGCAATTTTTGCCTTTATAAACCTTCCTCTCCTCCTCTTCGGGGCTCAGGGTTTTGGAGTGACTTGATTCTCCCAAAGCCACTACCTCAATAAAAGCTCTTGTAATTTGGCTCAAATTGGATGTTCTCTTATTCTCGTGCTGATTTGAATACAACATTTTGAGGCCCCAGTGATACCTACTGGTATCTGGGTGATGCATCCATGGATGGTGGCCACACCCCACTGGCTGCCCAACACTCAGGATACTCTGGGAGAGGTGCCACCTGAGATGTTTCAGGGCTCCAAAGACACCTTTCTGGGTCTTTGATAGCTAGGTCAGGAACACTGACTGCTCCTTCTAACCACAGAATTTGGTAAGAAAACCTCTGGAGTCTTTTCTGTTCTTTTCTCCTCTGTTTCTCCATACTCTTTCTTTTTAAGACTGCTCGACTGTGGAGTATGAGGCTGGCATGAGACGTGCGCCCTGAGTAGTAACAACTAGGTGGGATATCTAGTGGAATCTCAGGTCCAACTGGACACAGTTGAAGGAACCTCTACTCAGATTCTACCAAGATATTGTTGGAATCGGGAGCTAGGTAGAAGTCTAGTGATTGAAATTGCTAGATCGAGGGTTCAAATCCCTCCTAGATCTTAGGATTTCTCTCCCTTATAAGTTCTTTCTGTCTCTACTGCCGCTTCAAGGGATGTTTCTTGGTGAGAGGGAATGTTTTTAATCTTTTGTGTGAATGGTGAATGAGTGACTGTGTGACTGTGTTCGTGACACCCCTGCTTTGGCTATGGTGTCGAGTGAGTTCTCATCTGCAGTTCTATGGTATCCTCATCTAGCTCAGGGCTGGCATTGTGCACTGGGGAATTTCATACCTCTCTGTGTCCAAACCTACTTGGGGGTTGGTACCAGGCAAGAGGCATGGAAGTTCCTTGGAGGGATGCAGCCAGGTAGACACTTGTTTGATCACCTCTTTGGAAGAGACACCCCCTGCCTCTTGTTTGTCTTACAGCATCGTTACAGGGAGTAAAACACAAGGATTCTTGATTCTCTTGTATGTCAGAAGGGCTGTATTCCCTTGCTCGCTGGGATCTTCTTTCCTGAAGCAAGTCCAGGAAACTTCCCTAATTGAGGAAACAAAGACTGTTTTTGCTAATCTCTCTCTTAGGGCAGAAAATTGCCTCTGTTGTTAGCAGTCTAGGTCCAGCTATTTAAAAAATCTACCATTATATTGGTTAAATCCCAAACACCAACTCCCACTTATCATCCATTTCTTTTGTCACTGCCCAGTTCTTTTTTCTGTCACTCAGTAGGTGAATTGCCACTATAGGGAAGATTTTGTAAGGGGACCTACCCTCCTGTTGTTAGTCCACCTACATTTCTTTCAAGCTAAATACCTCTGTCCTTTCACTGAAGGACGGTGTCATTGCTTTAGGGATCTAAAGCTGAAGTGTGTAATTTTAAGCCTTGCCAGGAGCATGCAAGAAAGCTGATTCCAAGGTAATTGTCATAGAGTTTAGACTACAAACCCAGCCCACAATCTTTTTTTTTTTTTTTACTTTTATCTACATTTATTTTATGCTGACTTTATTCCCGTGCCATAAGTTTTTGTTTCTTCAGTTTCTTCTGGGATATCTTTTTCTTCTGTGTGACTTCCTCTTCCAGTTTAGGAACAAATTGCTCCTTTTCAGTGAGGATCATCTCCATGTGGTAGGGGGACCTTATGTATGGGTTAATCCGTCCATGAGTTCTGTAAGTACGACGGTGCATCTTGGGTGACTTGTTCACCTGAATGTGCTCAATGACCAGAGAATCTACATGAACCCCCTAAGTTCAGCATTACTCTCTCCATTTTTAAGCATATGCAGCAAAAATTCAGCACTCTTTTTAGGCCACCGACCTTGTGTCCAGCCCCACTGTTTAGCCTGGGCACATCTACCAACTGTGCCATTGTAACGACAGAATGGCACACACTGCTTCTGTAAAGTGACATCCTTCAGATACTTGGTGGCTTTTCAGATATGCATACCCTTGATGGCCTGGGCAGCTTCATGAGTGTTCTCAAAGTGAACATGAAGATTTGAACTTCTTGACTTGTATGACTTTGTGGGGTTCTCTGGGTCAAGTGAATAGTGAACCATTTTCAAAGACCACTTCAGGTCACTAATGAGAAGAGCCCCAGCCTGCAATCATTTTGACCTCAGTTTCAGCAGTGTCATCAGTCCAGCTGTAGACCGTGCCACCTGGGAGTTAAAAAGCCTTCAACAACTGGAGATTTTTGCAGTGACAATTTCACCACATACACCCCGCCCCCCCATCCCCCCCCCACACAGAACTCTCCCTCTTAGTGCACTCACTCACATGCAATCACAGCGTTTTCCTCTAGACTGTGACAGGGGATCAGATAAGCCCTTAGGGGATATTGGAAGTCACACCCATGGTTCCTAGGATTATATGCCCTGAACCCTTTGTCATTGTACTTTCCCTTATGCCATCCTTTTTATTTGCCTGGCACTGATATCAGTGACTCCTAGCAACTGGAGTAGGTTCTTAAGGTTCCTATTAGCTTTAGCTTATTTGGGAAGCATTGGTGTTTTCATCGCACTGTAGTTTTTCTAACTTGCAAAAAGCCCAACCTAACTTGCCAGGAGCCCATGGGCAAGGCAGACAGAGTGCACTGGGGCTCAAAGAGGTGCAGAGCCTCCCACACACACTCGCACTACTTGGCTTCTTTTGTACTGCTCATCCCACAGCTCTGGGCTGCAGCAGCGTCCATGGTAGGGCTGAATGAATCATCTCCAGACTGAAAGACTGGCAGGGAGCAAACCTATGCTGAGAAGCCATATCTGCCTTCCTGAACTCCAGAGCTGTTTTTACCAGGGATGGCCAAACTAGTTCCATTAAAACCCAGATGAAATTTATGTTTAAGCA